GGGGGGGGGGGGGGGGGGTGCTTTATTGTGAACTTTTTTTGACATTCGATGATATTCTGCGCTGTTGCGGATCATATTCATACAACAGCTACCATATATTCTCCCATATAGCCATCACAGAAGACCAGGAGGATGATGAGGACGATGAAGACTCAGACTACATGGCCTTTGTCCGTTTATCCTCTGTACTGGATGGGTAGGCTCCCGTCAGTAAGGACAACAGTTCTAGGGCAAAAAATCATGTCCATACTGTACATTATGTGTATGCCTATTTATTTTTAAAGGAAAGGAAGTCTACATGTAGTTCAGTCTGCTAGATGTTTATTTATACGTTTTGTGTTTCATAATTTATGCATTTACATTGTCAGGCTTTCATTTACCATGATATAGAGTGTCATCACTTCTGTTCTCTTTCTTTTATCTTTTTTACCATGAAGAATTATATCTGTCCAAAGAAAAACAGTGTTATTTATTTGTCCTTTTACCATGTGAGTATAAGTGAGTACAAGCTGTAAATTGCATTCCCTGAGCTGTAAAAATCTGCTTCTTCTTGACAGATCTCTATTACAGATGTTTATGTCACACATGCACAAATGCATGTTTAGGCTGTGTTTATTTATTGGGTGTATATAAATATATATATATATATATATATATATATATATATATATATATATATATATATATATATATATATATATATATATATATATATATATATATATATATATATATATATATATGTATATATACACCATTCTTGTACAGACATGTCTCTGGTTTGTTTACGACTGTAATAACTGACCAAAGCGGTTCTCTCAATGGTTTTGCAGCATTGTCAATTGTGCAAAGGCAGCAGTGATGAAATGAAAAAGATAAAGAGATGCATCTATTTTTTTTTCATTATTCTTAGTTGGTCCTTTTATATTTTAAATCTTAATTTTTTTTCTCTATCTGGACTTTATTCCACAGTATTTTTTATTTCACCACAATGATACTGAGGTACATTTTGTACACTACTTGATTATTTTGGAAATAATGTGCCATTTACACATGTGAACCATCCTCTTGCCAACGTGCTCCATATTGCTCTTGCAAGGCTACAGTAGGAATCATGTACTGCAGTACTTAATACTATTTCAGTTTTTCTCTCTTTGCTTCTTTTCATCTTGTTTAAATGCATTTTTTTCAAACGTCACCAGAGAAATACAAAATTCTGTTAAGAATATATAGTTTTGTATTTTTATGTAAATGTCATATGTACATACAAAGTTTGATGGTATTTGTACAGACTTGAAGAGTGAAACAATTAAAGTTTTTTCCTTACACGTGTGTTTTGACTCCTGTGTTATTGAGTCATATTAACATAAATTTAAACACATCAAAGTGATGATGTTTGTTCAAATTATGGAAAATTGTGTATTTATTTTCGTATTTTGTTCATGAAAATATTTTTACTAATCCATACTGTTGAACACAATAAGAAAAGGGATCTGACTTTCAACAGGTTAATCTAGGTTTTATTAAGTAAAATGAAATATCTTTAGAAAAACAAATTCGTTCCACATTTTTAATAAGCTTATTGGTATGTTTTGTGCACATCGTGTTCTGATTAGGAAAATTTAACAATAAAAAAGTTAGTAGTTTATATTGTAATTAACTTAGCTTATCAGCAACTTTTACCACATCATTTTTTATTGCTTGAATCTTCAAATGAAAGATTTTATTTTATTTAAATATGGACATTTTTGTTCAAACCCGGGCCTTATTATATAAAACATATAGAATATCTGAACGAAGAAAAAAAAAACATGCAACCTACTAAAACCGATTTTTTAATGCATTATTTTTTCTCGCACTTTTTGTCCCTTCGCAGTTGCCGTAGGTTACTCTTAACAACAAATATGGCGTCTTCAATGTCACTTCTCGCTTTGGGACGTTTGTCTTCGTTCAATTTAGCTTCGAAAATCCCCCTGAATCCTCTCAGGTAATTCTATATCGACCATCAACTAGTTTAATGTTCGTGTGTGTGGTGGCCGTGAGGTTTTTGTGTTTGAGGGTTTTATTTCTAGCTCTGAGTGGAAAGCCGCCGCTCGTCTGGAATCTCAGAGGCTAAACAATCTGATTGGAACGGAAATAATATACTAAAAACTTCCAGAGTTGTACGTAGCTAGTCTGCGACTCTACGCTTCGCTTTGTTTCTACTCGCTCACCTTTAAATTCATTAGACTGTTGGATAATGCTTGCGTCCTCACAACTCTTGTCAAGGCAGCTAACGAGCTAATGCTAAGACAAGCCAAACGAGTTAAAAAAAACAGAGCTGTAAATAAGTCGAGGAACAAATAAAATTAAACTCTGTACATTCTTGGTGTGTACCGGGTTACACAAGGTTATTGTCGATCATCTAAATTCTAAATTACGATTAAAAGCATTGTTTTTGCTTAAAAAAATGTGCTCATCGAGTTTTTTAAACCTGCCTTTAACTTTTGTATAAATTGTTCTGTATCTACGTTCCAAAAACGTTGTTTCCTAAAGCTTTAATCTTTTAAACATCTTCATAAAAATCAAATGGCCTTAACTTTATACAAACTGTGCAGGTGGTGTTAAATAATAACAAATTTGGTTGGCAAAATGTAAGTAGATAGCTGTAAATGTAAAAATGTAGCTTCCATGCTACTTAAAAAAACATAAAATGACAATAGAAAAGTTCTGATTGAATTTTGTATGTGAGACGCAGAAATTAGTGGCTGGAGTGCGTTTATTTAAAATTTATTTAATACCACAGGTTGGTTCTAGTGAAGTGCTTTTATAAAGCCTTGATGGGTTGGGTTGACAGTTATTTCTATCAGGACTTGAAATTGGCTAAAGATTATTCATACATTATATATGAATGGTAAATACACTTTGGTTTTATTTATAACACAAGGAAATTGAAATATAATAGCTGATCGGATTTGAGTCTGTAAACCCATAGGTGCAATAATTACCAGAGGCCTCATTTATAAAGCCTGCTTATGCAAAAGTGGGGTCTGAAAACTAGTATAAATTTCTACGCTAACGTTGTGATGTATGAAAAATAACTTGAATGGAAAACTGTGCTCAACGTTAAGTAGACTTTGGACCTGGCATAACCACACCTCGGAGAAGGTGAGATGGTAAAATGTTTTATTTAGGACACATTTTCAGACTTGGAAACCCTTGTGTGCACACACACAAAAACAACATTCAGCACCCCCATCCCATCTCATAAACTATAATGTTTTTAAGATATTACTTTCATATGTCTTCAAATTGCTTATTTGTGCTTTAATTGTGTGACACACAACAGCACATCTGTGAATCAAACTAGGTAAAAGATCAGCTGATGGGGTTTCCTCAAACAGGAGTTCTGACAGAACACCGGCTTGTTCCAGCAGGAATTAGCCGACAGACGGGTTGATATTTGTTTTGTGTGAACAGTATTTCCCGTCTAAAGCCCTTTTGGGTTAAATACAATGTTTTCATTAAATGTTCCCCTTAGATCTGGAAAATCTCAGTGATCAATTGCACCTACTGCTGCTTTTATTGATAGTATCAATGATCACTGCAATCTTAGGCTCTGTCTGACCAATTCTGTTTTATGTTTTCATGTTTTTCCTCATTTTCTATTCGGCGATCGCTTACGAACCCACCACTGTAGCAGCATGGTGCCACTCTGAGTCAATAAAACATTTTTCCCATACCTGCGCCCAAGAGCCTAGACTTCCATCTCAGTTGTCATGGTTAAATGTGACATGCGGTAGATAAGCAGGTTTATTTATATACACAATAGTCATAACAGAGTTGACATTGTCCATAATGGCAGAAAGTGGGTGTGTAAGAGGAGGCTTTGATTCCAGACAAAAAAATAGTTTACATATTGACCTTGTAAGTTGTGGTTATTGTAATTATTTATCAGTACTGTAAATTGTAAAAGCACTCTACGTGTATTTTGCACAATATGTACAAAAGCACGTGTTTACGGGCAGTTGTCACTTTGAGCCAAAATCTAAAATATAAACAGCTTTGAGTTACTTGGCAGAAAAATCAGCAAACTAGACAGGAGTTGGTAAAGTTTTTTGTCATCTACTTTTAAAGAAAAAAGTTCAGTTAAAATCGAAATACTGTTTGTATATTGTCAAAAATACTGGAGGAGCATGCAAAAACAATAGTCTCTCACTTAAATTAGAGCCCTGCACGGGCCTAAAATCTGAGCCCGTGTCCGGCCCGGCCCGAGGGGGTGGAGCCCCAGCCCGACCCGGCCAGAAAAAGTTTTCAGGATTCTCTGGCCCGACCCGATTTTTTTTTTAACCAGCTAAATGAAAACAAAGTGTGTCAATCCTGACCAATGTGTTAAAAGACGTGCAGGATCCGATCAATTTGTTTTTCCCTCGTTTACCGTCACGGAGATGACGGCGCACTGGCTCTGGTGGTAATCAAGTTAAATTTGATCTCTTTCCAACAGTTTTCACAAGAAAACAGAACAGTCAAAAGCAGGGCTTGTGTTGTGTTGACCGGATAGTTCCAGAATAGAAAGAATTACCCCGACGCATGCAGACGAACTGACATTTTATTTGTTACACACATCGCAAATGTAGCTAAATCACCCATGAAAAGATTCCCATCTGAACATCTGAGCTGCTCAGCGCAGCTCGCTCTCAGCGCATATGTGCACAGCGAGCTGAAGTTGTGGAGAGGGGCTTGGAGCGCATCGCAGAACCAGAGCGCCTGCAGGAAGATTCCTCCCACTGAAGCGAGTGTTTTCCAAACCCTGTCGCTCAGAGAGACTTGTCACTTAGAAAATGTTCCCTGATTATGGAACTTTGGCTGAATAGCGCTTGTTCCTGTATCCAATGTGGCGACACATCCAGGAGCCGTCTGAGGAGAATCCCAGAATCTCTTCAGCTCAGAAAGCGCCTATGATTACACACAAGCGTGACCCGTCAACCCGGTCTCACAGTAAGACCGGGTTGGACCTGTTCAGGTTTACGCAGACAATCTTTACATAGAATTGACTTACAGATATAAAATTAATGCAGTAAAATATAAAGCATTTTATTTAAATATCCATTCATTATTTTACAAGCACAGAGAGCCGCATCAGATGGATGGAAGAGCCGCGGGTTGTGACATGTTTTCTCCAGGATCAGAGAGAACGCAAACTCAATACATCTCTTTTATTGTGAGGTAATAATTTCTCCGAGTTTTGCGGTTGCGAGCGGGACTGTAACACACACGTTGCAGTTGCAGGCGGTAATGGTCAGAAATTCAGCGGGAGCGCGCAGGAGCGGGATGAAGAAAACAGTCCCACGCAGGGCTCTACTGCTGCGTTTGTGTTTCAATTTTTTTTAAATGAATTCGATTAAAAATAAAGGCGCCCGGCCCGTGTCCGAGGTAATTGCACAGTCGTTGGCCCGAAGCCCGGCCCGAGGGCCGTCGGGCCGGGCCGACCCGAGGGCCTAGGGCTTCAGTGCAGGGCTCTAACTTAAATACATGAACTCCTGCCACAAAACCAGACACCAAGATGGTTGCCAATGAGAACAAGAAGAAACATCATTACGCTGCAACATCCAGGCTTTGTGGGGCCACAAACGAAGACGCTAGTTATTTTTTTATGTTTCCGACTGGACAGCTGACATCTGCCTCCCACAGTTTGACTGACAGTAAACAGCCAGCTGTCATGTAGACGGGTGAAACTGATTTCTTGTTGCCTTATTGTGAGTTTCAGAGCAGTCGTGTGAGAAGCTACTGTCAACAGATACATGCCTAGTTTATTTTTTTATTTAGCTGTTCACATGAACCCTAAACTTACTAAACACGTGTGTGTGCGTGTGTGTTTGTGTGTGTGTACACACAGATGTGACCTCAATTTTAAAAGAAACATCCAATTTTTCTGTAGAATACTCATTTGTCACTAGTATAACCGACCAAAGTGACATTAGTTAGTTCCTGGTTACCAGTCAGATAAACCATTGCATCCTGATCCTGAATCGGTTGTTTTCACCAATGCAGTTTATCTTTGGGCCCTTACACATGGTGACCATGTCTCATGTTTTAAAGATTTAGTATCAGTTTTTATAAAACTTTTGCACAATGTTTAACTGAAGTTTCATTCTTGTCCCAATGTCATTGGTGCCCTTTCTTTCTTGCACAATGATTTCTGTAAACAGTTTTTGTTTAGAGGGACTTTACAGACTTTTGAATTTTTATGCTCGTGATTGCCCCCTCAGGCCAAAAGCGTAACAGCAGCTTCAATAGTAGGCTCGTGCACGAGGTGCGCATGCTGTACGTGCACACTCCTTAACAAAAATAACAGCTGAGACAGTCCCGTGTGTGTGTGTGTGTGTGTGTGTGTGTGTGTGTGTGAGTGCGTGCGTGCGTGCGTGTGTGTGTGCGTGCGTGTGTGTGTGGGGGGGGGGCCCGGAGGACAGAGGACAGGAGAACGCGCAGCTAATTAATTAAATAATTTGGTTCTGTACCTTTCTCTTCAGCACAGCCGACAAAGGTTTATGATGGGTCAGTCCTCCTGCATGCTCAGATCATTCCCTTCCCTTGCTTGAAAAATTGTTCCAAAATGAAAGTTGAACCCACATCTTTTTTATCTGTGAATTCAATGCCGTTCGGCGAGTCTCAAATAAAAATTTGGGCGTCTTACTGTAAAAAATATACCATTAATGTAAAAAAGAAACTAAATAAACTATGTTCACATCCAGAATCAAACCCAGGTCTTCAGCATGAGAGTCTGACGTCTTACTAGGTGAGCTAAAGCGCCAGTGATGACCCTTGTATCTGTAACATTTATATCCTTGATGACAGCTGAAACAACGTCAAACCAAAGAACGGTTCGGAGTGAAAATGGCTATTTTGTTGCTAATTAGCAGGAAATATCTAGAAGAAAGTTGTACAGAAAGTAGCTAAGGGTCCTCAGAAATGTAGCTAGCTTTGTCACTAGGCGTTAGGAACAGCGACAAAGTGGCACTGCCTCTCTCTCTGCTGCTAAAGCTACGGATAGCAAATGCTACGGGCGATGCCTGAGCGTGAACGCGCATGAAGCAGCCTGCTCGACCCGAGCATCTCTCTTTTTCTGTGATTTTACAGAAAAACAGGCAATCACAGTAAAAATGCCAGGGCTCATTCTACAGGACCAGGGCATTGCAGGAGAATGTATGAAGAAGACATTTATTATTTCTATACATGTTTTGACTGTCACACTTCCATAATGTCCCTTTAAAGTATAAAACCAGAAGGCTGTGATGGAAACATTTCTATCTTTTTTTTAATAATATATTTTCTGATAATCAGGACATTATCCAAAATCTGGCCTTCTCTGGCTGAGTGACAACGGCACTTTGCTGCTTAGTGTCAAGATTCAGCTGCACTTTCACAAAGAGCTTCACAGTCCTCCGCTGACAGTTATCCTCAGCCAGCATTAAGCACATCCAGTCATTAGGATGAGAGCGAGAGTCTGCCAAAGATTCACCAGACAGAACTAATAGATGGTGGGGGGGGGGGGGATTCCTTCCTTGTTGCATCCGTTTCACTGTAGCCTCACCTCACTACGTCCTCCAAGACTGTCAGGGGCTGGAGAGTGCTGCTTGTTTGTGAAATTTACTCCTTTGTTTTGGGTCTTTTGAGTGTAAACTGTTTAATGATTTTTCAGGTCTGCAAGCATTTCAGCATCGAGGCTGGCAGAGAAACCAGGACAAGACACGCAACTTATTACAGTTGATGAGAAATTGGTAAGGATTCCTGTTCAACGTGACACACAGATTGTTATTTTTCTTCTTCTGAGTCTAGAATCTTCCAATTATTTTTCTAAAAACCAGTTTAAGCCTGCTTAATCAGCTTTTACAGGACAGTAGGCTTTTGCAAATTTCACCACTGGTGTGCTCTCCTGGAAGCTCAGACGAATCCCTTTGGCACCGTTCTTTCTGCCACTGCAGCAGCCAAAGGGCTTCATAAATGGAATTTCGAGAACAATTTGGAAGAATAATTAAGAACATTATTGCATAGCACAAATTACGTTCCCTTTAAGTGGGACAAATTATTTAAATTACAGGACGAGATAAAAACTTGGCAATTATCAGTTCATGCAAACCCATAGTCTTTGTTTTATTGTCTCTTCTGGTATAACGTCAGATTGCAACAAAAGGGACTTTATTTAAATAGAAACAATTTTAGCTGTACTTCAATCACTTGGTTTTATGTGTCGACACAACACAATACACTTGTAACCCGTACCCCAGGTTATCAGTCACTGAATATGAGCTGTGATCATTAACTTCATCACTCAATGTCTAATGAACTTTTTGACTGGGGTCAGTGAGAATTGGGCTGTGCACTAGATTAAACTTGTATTTAAAGTGACTGTGTAGTTTTTACCGCTAATCTCTAGAAACATCCATCAAAAGGTTGTTGAAAATGAATTAAACAGTGCTCAAACTATTAGCAGCTTCGTAACGTTCAACCATAAAAATCGGGTCTCACATACATGGAAGCGGGTCTAAGTCTCTGGCCGTATTAGATGCAATGTTTTCTTCTACGTGAGCCCATGAGGACAAAAAGCATTTACTCATTTGTAAGAAGCGGTTGCAAAACTTTCACCATTCATTAATGTTTTACACACTTGCCTCTTCACTTGTTGCCAGTGATGAAAGGGAGTCTGATGGGCTTGTCGTTTTGCCGGAGGTCGAGCGATCTGACAAAGTACTCACTGGAAAATTGCGTGAATTATTTTTGACACCTTCAGAATCACAAGAATGCCCTTATTTTATCTTCTGAATGAGGCACATACTTCTCAGTAGTTCTATCGTAGACCTGTCAACGTTTCAATTTGAGTTGTTTAAAGAGCAAGTCACCTCCTACCAGAGTATTACTCCACTCCCACTTCCTGTTTGAAAAATGCACCAAATGCTGTTGCCTAGCAGACCGAGAGGGCGGAGCCGCTAACAAATACACACACACACACACACACACACACACACACACACACACACACACACACACACACACACACACACACACACACACACACACACACACACACACACACACACACACACACACACACACACACACACACACACACAGGCTCACAACGACATTGTGACATCATATGGTACCAGCTAACGTTCTAGGGTACCTCTTAGCCAATAGCGATGGCAGATTTAAATTCAAATGCAGTGCAGAGTTTTTACCTGACAACGGCACAACACTGACAGCTTTAGGCAGAACATTTAAATTTGAACTAAAATGCACTAAAGTGCAAAACTATTGACGACACGTGTCTGCAGCACGATCAGACACACATTTATATCGTTTTTCAGCAAAAAATACTTGGTTTGGGGGTGACTTGCTCTTTAAGTTGATTGTGAAACTAAATGTTTCACTTCTCATCCACGTAAAATTGATTACCTATTTCAGATCCGCTAAGCAAAGCTAATTGAGTGTTCAGACACTGTGCAAATGTGGCTTTCTTCAAGCTGATGTGATTTAGCTTGTGGAATATGAATCTGTGCGTCTACAAGCACAGAGAAGTCCAAGATACAGAGGAAATGGTGTAACATTGTTTCATGTGTAATCTGCATTTCTGCCCAGCAAAATGGCAAATGCTCAGTGGTGGAAATGAGTAAATTCAGTTTGGAGAAGAATGTTTTGCTGAATCAATGTGGCCTCTGTGTTGCACTTTTTGGCAGCAGTAGCTCAGAAGGTAGAGTGGGTTTGTCCAGTAATCAGAAGTTTGTAGGTTCAGTCCCTGCTCCCGCCAGAGAGTCATGTCCTTGGGCAAGACACTATACCCGCCTTGCCTGCTGGTGGGGGTCAGAGGGACTGGGGGTGCCAGTGTTCGGCAGTCTCGCCTGTGTCAGTGCGCCCCAGGGCAGCTGTGGCTACATCATAGCTCATCCCCACCAATGGGTGAATGACTGATTGTGTTGTGAAGCGCCTTGGGGGGTTGTAGGTCCTTAAGAAGGCGCTATACAAATACAAGCCATTTACTTAAAATTAGTTGTTAATGTTTTTGTTTGGCTTCTTTTCAGGAAATCCTTTAATATTCATAATTTTCTACCTCTTAATTGTCTTTCTGGCTTCCTAGTTTCATTTTCTCAAATCCCAGTATTTATTATTTTTTTTTACTTCTCAATCAATCAAAGCTTTATTTATAAAGCGCCTGTCGGGAAGCCCAAGGCTTCTGGAGGTTTTGCACTACCAAAGAAAAGATATGGTTACCTTTTGGTTTTGGCAAATTGTGATATATGTTTTATTTGGAAATGAAAATAACTGCAGCTTTGACAGTTTTTAGTAAAGACTGTATGGATTTTACATAAATAATTAGGTTCTTGTAAAGCTTTAAAAGTCTATAGGTCACTGAGAATCAGCGAAATTTGTCGCCGTCGCTTTTATTACCTGAAACACGGGAGGCGATCCGCGGCAGCGGCCAGCGGTAAAGCCGTCTACGCGTTCTGTTCCATGGCGAAATCGAAACTTCCTTTGTTTTGATTGGCTGTGTCAGGTTGGAGGGAATTAAGGTTATTTAAGCGGTTCAGAGTTAATAAAGTGGTAGATATGATGTTTCACAAGGTGCTGCTAGAGTTATGTGAAATCTTACTTCTGATTTTACTATAAAACATAATAATAATCATCTTCTCCTCCATGTTTGCTCAGAGGTGTACGGAGCATCCTGTCCGCTCATTGGTCAGTGAATGCTTAATATATAACCTTTACTTATGAAGAAGAAGAAAATATCATTTCTAAAGCGCCTCTCAAGATAAAAATCACGAGGCGCTTCACAAAAACAAAAAATGTAAAAACATAAAAAAGAATTTATACAATGATTAAAAATATAGTTAAAATGAGCAAAAAATAGACATTTGTGATTAAAAATGTTAAGAAAGAGAGAGAGTGAACAGGAAAGAGGGAAACCAGTGGATCCTGAGGAAGGTGGAATAGGTGGGGAGAGCAGAATAAAGAGAGAGAGGTGAAGAAGGTCATACAAAAGCCAGCTTGAACAAGTGAGTCTTCAGCTGCTTTTTAAAGGAGACCACTGAGTCCACTGATCTCAGGCTCAGGGGGAGAGAGGTCCAGAGTCTGGGGGCCACAGCAGCAGATGATCTGTCACCTTTGACCTTTAGCCTGGTGCTGCACAACCAGTAGGCTTTGGTCACTGGACCTCAGGGACCAGCTGGGGGTGTAGGGACTAAGAAGATCACCAATGTAAGATGGTGCTTGTCCATGTAAGGCCCTATAGACCAGAACCAGGATCTTGAAATGAACCCTGAAGTTGACTGGCAGCCAGTGAAGCTGGAGGAGAAGCGGGGTGATGTGGGTGTGTTTGGAGGACTTGGTCAGAAGCCGAGCACAGGCGTTCTGAACCACCTGTAGACGGTTCAGGGAGGTTCTGCTCAGACACGTGAAAAGAAAGTTACAGTAGTCTGAGTGTGAGGAGATGAAGGTGTGGAGAACTGTCTCAAGTTCAGAGCGGGACAGAATGGGACTCAGCTTAGCAACGTTCCTGAGATGGAAGAAGGAAGAGCGAACAAGAGAACTCACATGAGAATCCAGGGTGAGAGCTGGGTCAAAGGTCACACCAAGATTCCTGATGGAAGGTTTGGTGTGGGAAGCAAGCTGACCAAGAGAGTCTCTGACTTTGGGAACCAGCTTGTCTGGGGCACAGATGAGGATCTTGTATGACCAATAAGATGTGATATAAATGTAGGATATCAGCCTTATTGGTCTTTGAATGTTTAATCAGAAGATTCTAGGATTCTTTGCTTTTTTCAGTGATCAAACACACTTCGTATTATCTTTGGTGTGTTCTTGCTGTGTTGAAATTCTAATTCCATCTTTTAGTTCTTTTTAAAACATAGAACGGTTTTATTTACCTGCAAGAACAAATGAGAACAAAAGTCATTGAGATCTATCAGTCTGGTAAAGGTTATAAAGCCATTTCTAAAGCTTTGGGACTCCAGCGAACCACAGTGAGAGCCATTATCCCCAAATGGCAACAACATGGAACAGTGGTGAACCTTCCCAGGAGAGGGCGGCCGACCAAAATTACCCCAAGAGCGCAGAGACAACTCCTCCGAGAGGTCACAAAAGACCCCAGGACAACTTCTAAAGAACTGCAGGCCTCACTTGCCTCAGTTAAGGTCAAAGTTCACGACT